CTAGTAATATATTTACTGAAAAAAATGGTGACATGTTCAATACTTATTTTACCCGCTGTATTGGGCTAAAATGTGGTGTGGTGGTAGTTGAGTGATCCCCAACATATAAAAAGATGATGCAAAACACCTCTTTAAACTTTGTTTTATCTAGAATCTAAAATGTCTTATGGAAGAATGATGACTTTCTAGTTTAAACACAGCTGCAGCAGAAACACATGGTCAGTGGTGAGATTCTGACCTTGGTGACCACAACGTTCCTCTCCTGGCCCAAACGATGGCACCGATCAATACACTGCTCCTCAGTAGCTGGGTTCCATGCCTCAAACAGACACACAATTAATTCAGTACATTGAAAATCTAAAATCCTGGGGTGGCACCAAAAACAAAAGCCAGAATAGAATTTCAGGAGATTCATGTTTTTGTCAAATTTAAGTTACAAATACATTAACGTGAGAATTAAAGAATCACTTTCTCATACACACAGACCTACTTTAGTTGCTGTTTTTTTTATTTACAGTAGACATTATTCTGAAAAACACTGTCACTATTCAACTCATAAAATATTTATTTTATGCTAMAATATTACGACACTGAAACATCTGGTATGTGTCAAAGAACTGTCGGTGGTGCCTTTGATTTAAAGAAGCTATAAACTTATCTTCTTATGAAATGTGCTCTCGTTTTTAGCTCGTTCTATTAGCTTATTTATTTGTGTCCAAAATTTTTTTGTTTTATTTTATTTGAATTAAAATTTTTTCTGTGTAACTACTCGTGTGTTTTGTAACTTTTGTCTTATAACAGGTCTCTCTTGGAAATGAGATTCTGAATCTCAATGAGACTACCTGTATAAATAAAGGTTAAAAAAAAAAACTAAAACAAGAAGAAAAAAAGTTTGTTTATGCTAAAACAAAAAGATTTCTTATCTGATCTGGTACAAATTGATAATTTTACATGTCAACATGTTTTGTGTCTACAGGGATGCGTGTACTTACAGGGTCCATGAGGAAAACGTGAGAGGCGGCGGTCAAGTTAAGCCCCACCCCTCCAGCTTTGAGTGACAGGAGCATGATTGTAGGGCCGTCCGCTGCAGAGCTCTGAAACTCCTGAATGACTCGAGTTCTCTTCTTTTGGTTCATTGAGCCGTCGAGACGCACAAAACTGAAGCCGTGCTCCCTGGTGGAGACCGAAGAGACCAGCAGGAGTTATGAAACAGAAATCTAGGGGAAAAAAAACTAGCTAATTTTCAGAAAACTAGGATTGGAAGACAAATATTCTGTAGTCTTATTTGTATCTTTCTGGTGTTATTTTGGAAGTCTGCAGTGGGAAGTTTAATGTGAAGATTCTCAGTCGTTCTGGATTAATTAATCCTTGCTTCAGCTGCACAAAAGAGGAGGCACATACTGTATGTTTCACTCTGAAACTAACCAGGTTTAATGTGGAACTTCTTTAATCTGTTGTCTGAGCAGTAGACATTCACGAGCAGAAATCAGCGTTTCATATCTGCCTCACTTTTTTTTTACTTTGTAGTAAAACATCACAGAATAAGTAGATTAAGTTAAATGAATATTATGTAAAAAATAAATAAATAAATAAAAAAATGCAGCTGATTCGAATTGTTTGAACAACTCTTCATTGACTGATGATGGCAGTAATTCAGTTCAATTCAAATTCAAAAATACTTTATTGATCCCAGAGGGAAATTAGATGTTAGATCTGACTTTTGTGMAACGAGCCCTGGGTCAGGATCAATCCAACAAGGTTACAAAACAAAAACAACTGGACTTCTATTCTTTTAAACGCCTCCTGGATAAGAATTCAAACGTTTTTAGTCTTTTATAAAGTAGAAGCAGTTGTTATCAGACTAGTAGTTGTAGTAATAATGGGCCTCATGCAAGAACATGTTCGTATTCTTTTCTTAAATTTCTCTTACTTTTGTACGTACGAAGGGTTCG